GCTGGGGGAGTGCCTGGACCCAAGACGTGCGATGATGTGATGCACCCAGAGCTACCGAGAATAGCGTGAATTGTGGTAATTTGATCGGTCTCGTCTCGACCGGGGAAGAGCGGGAAAAGCGCCATGACTTCGAAAAATACACAACCGACGCCCCAAATGTCCATTTTGAATCTAAAAAATCCGACAATTTTGATCCAGTGAAGAGCTCTTTTCCCCCACGTGTAATAACCGTCGGTCAAGAGGCACTCGGGGGGCCGGTACCAACGGGTGCTGATGTAACTGATAAAAAAATACAGTATAGAAATTACGGGAGTACTCCTACTCAGTGTAGGGTTGCCGAGAATATATACCTCGGCAACTACCAAGATCGGCTAACTTCAACATATCGTCAACCTGGTCGATTTAGTGCATCAAGGGACTTCGAAAATAAGCTCACTATGAGGAGGTTCTCAGGTTTGATGTTTCGATGGAAAATGCCGTTTCTGTGCATATGGTCCACCGCGAGCATCTAATGTGACACAACAACCACTTCAGCAGGCGACCAAGTTGAGCTTACCAGCTGGTACATCCACTCACGGACTTTAACTTGAGGGAAATGATGGCGTCGGTTTTTAATAGCCTCGTATCTACAGCGCCGTCACAACAACGGTTCCTTTCAATGCCTCACAGGTTCATGTCCATGAGCTCCATAACTAGGGCAAGGCGACCAGAGGGTTCATCGTAGAGTACCTCGAGATAAAGATACTCATCTCATACTCTGTGGAGGAGGAAGAGGAGAATTCACTTCATGCAACTTTATTATATGTCGGTGGCCACCAAGGCGGCGAAGGGCTTGGATTTCACGTAGATTGTTAACCTAGAGCATCAGTCGATTCCATCAGGCTTTTAGAGCTCTCACTTGTTCAATAGATTGGAAGGTGTTCTTCATGCACTTTATAGCATAGTGACGATTGGTCCTCAGCGACTGAGCTTTGAGTACCTTATCACGGCAACAACAACAACAAAGACTCGATTGCCAATGGTTCCCTGAGGCTACCTCGCTGAACGTCCCTTCACCTTTCTTAGCAACAAGTTTGTATTTATGCATAGAGCATGATGTGGCACCAACCTGAAGGCAACACTGCTCAAATATCAATTCTGGAGAGATCTGTGGCGAGCGAGAAAAAAATGCAGGAGAAATGTCGTGGGGTGGATTTGAACCCGGGACCTGGGTAGATCGAATATGGTAGTCGATTTTTCTATCACAAACTGCCGAGGTTCGAAAGGGCTACAAACCTCTGATGCGCCTTACTCTTGCTTTATATGAGAAAGTCATGTAATTGTAACAAACTGCTTTTACCAAACTTTCGTTATGAATGGATCATCAACAACTCATTCTATTCCATATTTGGTATTAAAAGTTGAACGACTTACGGTAAGCACGCATGCACATATAACTATCCTATCCTTCTTTCACGAGGCACGCACCGCCGAGAGTTTCCAGCCCAATAAGGAAAATTACACCACGTGAAGACCTAAAGTAAATATGTTAATCAGTGTATACTTAGAAAAATGATAATGCGATAGTCTTCTCATTTCCAGGCCCTCAGATGCTCTAAGAATCATAAAATTTGAAAATTTACCAATGAAATTCTCAAAAAAGAGATAACATGCACACAGTCAACTACGTGTGTTGGTACGATAGTCTTGAAAATTTATTGCTTATTACTGGAGTTTCACCACCCGTTCTACAAGTGCCGTGAAACTGGGTGAAAAACGCGATATTCGCGGTGATATGCAGTAGTCGTGAAATACGTGAATTTCACATCACAGGTGAAACTCCACTGAGCACTTCTATCATCGAGGAGGAAACAGAATATATATTCCATTAATGATTCGGAAAATTATTATAAAACCATTACAGCACGCATGCACGTCCGATCGATTCCAAAATTCCCACTCCAGTACACTAAACTCACCTCGGTGATGATCCCATATCGTCGAATCGATATTTTCCCTTCTCGAACCGCAGTATGGGAAAATATGCAACCACATATGTTGGTGATGACAATACGAAAATTCTGGGAGTAAATTTTTGGGGATATTCTCATTGATTCGTGTAAACGGATTGGTTTATTAACGTATATATATTTAGTGAGGAAACTCTCGAGCTCAGCCGAGGAAAGCGAATACATATTTTTCGGCACACCAACAACAACCGCCACATATCACTATACCATCGACACGCACATCGCAAGTCGCGATCGTCCTACATTAACGTTAGTTCCACTGATAGAACGCGAACGAGTGTTTTATGCTAGGTGACTAATGTGTTTTTCATATCACTAGGGTGGTGAAACTCGACTATATTCCTACTATCACTATTTTCATTGCTAATCCAGGAACCTATATTGTATCATTATTAATTTTCCACGTATGGCTAGGAACACATTCTTCAATCAGTTTCCCCCCCATGTAAATGCCATAATCACATTATGAACATCATTCTCCCCATTGTTATCAAACTCTGGGGAAAGGCGTTATCTCACAAAGCTCTGATTATGAGCTTGATACGACGTAGAAAGCAGTTCTCAGAAATCCATATCAATTGCTGTTTCATCCATGATATCAAAAAAACATGATAACAGTAAATATCGCGTAAAACACGTAATGTGGTTTATGCGAAATAAGGTGATATGTCAATTCACTTAATATCGCGACTTTCACATACAGTATTACGCCACTTCACGTAAAACGGATGGAACTCCAATAATATAGGTGATATGTAAAACGCGAACTGGTGTTTTACACCAGAAAAAAATCTCGCGATGTGAAATGTGTTTTTCACTACTGGTCATCATATCACGGGTGAGACTCCAAGATTTTCCTGCCATCACTATCTTCATAAGCGTTGATCCCGTTTTTCATGGAGTATCATTATACTCAGTGAGAAAAAGCGATATTCGCGCTATACAGTAGTCATGAAATAAATTTTTCACTACTGTGTTTCATATTACTAGGGTGGTGAAACTCCACAATATTTCTACTATCACTATTTTCGTTGCTATAATCAAAAAGATTAAAAAGCCGATTAAAACGAAATCTCAAACTCCGAGGAAATGCAAGATTGCAAGATTTCACATTCATGCAAAATTCACATGTTCAATCTCGAGACTCAGAATCTATCAATTTAGAATAGATTTTCACTTGTGAATTTTGTGAATCAGGCCACTTACCAACCCTAAAGGCATTGCTCTTTCATGGTTCGAATAAAATATTCCTCGCTTTGAAAATAAATAGTCATTTTGATTCTCCTATTATACGAAAGCTTCAACTCTCCGTTTTTGACTTCACCACAAACACCAACGAGTCGGACTCGTTGACATCATCCCACCTGAAGTATCTTCATTTCTCGCGCTTGGTAGTCACCACTCGTAGTCCAACTCCCAATCGAGGAGCTACCAAGGATCTTCACGTACCCTCAATTGGATACACTTCTTATAGACATTAATAATACACCGATAATATACGATCTTTTTACCCAATGCTCTCAGTCAATAGTATATTAAATAGAATACTAATATACTAGAGTCTCACCCGTTATACGCGAAGTGGTGAAAAACGTGATATTCGCAGCAATCAGTAGTCGTGGAATATGTTTTTCACTAGTGTTTTTCATATTACGGGTGAAACTCCAGTGGAGAATTCGATGAGATATGAAGGAAGACCATTGGGAAAATGGGGCGTATTGTTATCAATAATAATAAATTGCAGTTGGGATTTAACAGGGATACCATCACTCGATTATATTCATAACATGGGTATATAAAGGATGCCCTGAAGTACGCGAATTTAGTGACAGAACTGTAATTCAGTGTAATGATCGGCGCAAGGATCTCCACGGGAACAGTTTTATGATGAGAGAAAACCATGGCACGCAAGTGGTCATACCAGAAACCGACAACTTGTAGGCTGACGCTGAACGGTACACGCCTTACCAGGTTTGTTAACATGTGGCTCATCAACAGTCAGAGTAGCATCCAAGAACTGTACATAAATTGTGTCAACATGAAAACTACCAACCTTAAACCAGTTAGCATTCGATAAGCAATCACCATCGCAATGACATATATCATAACTCGCAGCCACTTGAATTCCGTTCTCAATGATTCGATCGGTCTAAGGTCTAAGAGTCAGACATTCTGGCTTCTCTCGCGATACTACTCGGTCGAGACCCTCAACAATCGACGGACGAATGACATGACCTCATCTCTGCTTCAGTCATTGACGCTGGGGGATTGTGTTCTTCATAAGGTTGAAGGTCTTGACTCGAAGCCACAGAAAATTCGAAAAAGGAAAGGCCAAGATTTGATCTTGGGTCGTCGCATTGATAAGCGCTACTCTTAACCACTAGACTAAAAATCTCTACTGCGTAATTGATGCCTTACTCGATCAGGATGATTAGATATTATGGGATCCGCTTCACCACTTGAAACTCGTTTTCCTTGTTTAGTGCACTCACATTTTGCATTCCATGATCCACTCCCTTGTATTCCAAGTATAATGGTTGTTCTTCAGTGGTCACTGTTGTTGTTAATCCCCCAATGATGAGCCTTTTCGCTCCTGCCAGGCATCTCGCACGGTCTTCCATCCCCCGCCTGAGCTGTGCTCGTTTTGCCTCAACTTTCGTCAAGGTACGGCTCACTTCTCGTCGCTATCACATCACCTCTGTGCTTCGCAGGTGGTAAAAGAACAGAATGCCGCGTACACAGGAAAGGCGTTGAAGTGTTACGAGGAGTCGAAGGACGAAGTTGATAGGAAACTCGATCCTGTAATGGTGGCCATTTTTGTGGTCGGAAGTTCTCTTCGGTGTTATATTTGTGGAAATTAGAATTTAGGAAATTTCAAGCACGCCGCTATTAATCGCTTAGCGTAATACATTAATACGTATTACAGGAAGCGAACCGCCGTGTCTGCCTGTGGTGTTTCTCCGGAATAGTACAGTACTCGTTTTTCATTTTTGGGCGCGGCTTTGTAGGTTTTCAACAACAACAACAACAAGAACAAGCCGTTAGTCCTCTTCATGGAGGGAACGGTCGATGCGCCCAAAGGCCAGTTGAGTTTGAACGTGGTGAAAATGCTCACGGAGGTAATACGTCTGGTCCTGGTCTGGCGAAAGGTATCTCCAAAACCAACCTCTGCATCTGGAGGATTCCCATTGCCGATCTTTAGGAGCGGTCCCATTGGTGACTGTTGATGTCACTGAGCATCCTGCTATCACCGGGTAGTATATGGGAGATGTGGTAGGAGTGATGTTAGTCCCTCGTGTGATCCTCTTTAGTGTTGGAGGAATATGTGGCCGCCTCCTTCAGCTGAGTTCTGGTGTTTCCTCACTGATTATAGCAATTTACATACGAATCCGAGTAGAGTTTTTTTACAGAAACCAAGACAAATTTTCCACAATTTCTATACTGTCACTAACACAGGTAGTTAACCATGTGGAAATTCTCCCACAGTGATCCTCTTAGTTTCGAACGGTGTGGTAAAGTATGCATATTGCCAACTGCGCGATAATGAGGAAATCATCGGGAATTCTCGTTGCTTTTTGTATAATTCTAAAGTCAGTTGTGTGTGTTAGTTCTCATAATGAGTTCAGCTGAGGAAACCTAACATATATTCCAACATTGTGTGCGTATATTCTCCCACATAGGTCGCGAGTTTGTGTTTGCGTATGTCGTGTTTCATTTTGCAATTCGTGGCTGTGGTTATCAGGTATACTGTGTCGAAGAGTGGCTCGGAGGTTACACCACATTTGTATTACAACGGCAATTTTTATGGTGATCATGATAGGTAGTATTAGCGAGGAAATTTGGGGAGTTTATTATCCGCAGACGATCTGTAATAGATAGTGTTATTTCCTCTTACTGTCGCGCCCTTCACTGTGGGACACTGCTTCTCTATCAGGCTCTTGAGCAAGTACAAAAATGGAGAGTTGAGGAAAATTGGCAGCAATAAGAAGTAACTATGGTTCTTATAGAGACTATCCTGTTGAGCGGTGCGGAAGGATGTGTGTTCAGGTCTGAGGGCGCGTTTGCTGGGGAGCTCCCCATCGGAATGTACTGAAGGAGGAGGAGGACTCGTAGACCTACAGTTCCTCTATGACGCATCGTGGGTGTTGATACGTGTAGGATACGACCTGGTGACATCACTAGGAGAAGTGAGAATGACAATTTCGTGGCGCGGTGACGGTGATGCTGGTTATCAGGTATTTCCCTGCTGGCTGAGGTGGTGAATATGAGGGACACTCATTTGGCGGCTGAAAGGAAGAGTATGCTATTGTCCGAATCGTGCTCTGGTGACCAAACAGTTATGCATATCTAGATCTTCTTCAATTAGAGAGTATGGTTGTAGACTACGTAACGCTTCTAAAACGTTGGTGTCATCAATCGATACACATTGTTATCATGTTGATATTACTCAACGTTGACTTTCGACAAACTCCCTAAATTGTAAATATTGCCTCGCATAACGGTCTGGTTCACAATGTATAAGTCAGGTCATGAAAAAATTGTGGAGCAAGACGCCCTCACGCGGTTGCGGAGAAGACTTCGACGATTTGAAGCAAACGAATATACGGTAAAGATATGATATGAATATACGATGCTAGCTCGGGTGGTCTGTTAGATGCCATGAGCAGTGGTAAGAATGTGTGTTATCATCCGTAAGATCGCGGGTTCGAATGCCAGTGATGGCATTTTAGATAATATTAGGAGGCTCGAGGAGCGTTGTGAGTATCTCGGGAAGGAGCTCGAGGTTGCCAAGAAGGAGAAAGTCGAAACCCGGCGACAATCCACCGAATGCCAGGCTCGTATCGAAGCGGTGGTGCACTTGTATCATATGCTCGGGGGACGTTTTTTCTCCTTGCAGGAGGTTGCTATAAAGCGAGCGAGCGAACGTGAGGTTTCTGGCAAGGAGTCCCTCAGGCGGCGAATTATTGAGAAAGGTGTGGTATAAGGTATCAGGTGCAGGGTATGGTTTATTGCGATCAGATGTTGCGGCCAGACGGGGGGGGACTTGGAGAGGCGGAAGAGTCAAGTTCGGCATGAGAGGGCTAATGTGCATCAAATTGACAGGAAAGTGCAAGGGCTGGGAAAGTGGAGGACCCAGGGATCGATCCCGGGTCAGATCATTTCTTTAGGACGGATGTAAATCTCTCGAGTCTGTCTGCGGGGTCGATGTAGACCTGTTTAGAAAAGGCGAGAAACGAATTCTCATTTTTGCAGGTGAGCTTGCTACACCAAGGTCTCAGGTTCGATCCCGGGATGCCGCATTTTCGCTTCAGTCACAATTGGTGGAGATGGAACTAGCTTGGAAGGGACTCCCAGAGGATCGGGCGAAGCTGTTCTTACAAGCACAGGAGCTGTATTAACGGTTACGGGTTTCTTGTGCAGCTAGTGTGAGAAAATGTGCACATAATCAACTACATGTGTTGATGACAATATGGAAATTCTGAGGGAATCTTGAGAAATTAGCGTTGATTCCTATAAACTTCAATCACTGTGTGCAGCCTTTGATTCCTTTCTCCCAGCTGAGCTACTCCCAATGCTTTCTAGAAACCAAGTTGGAGTTTTTTTCCCTCAGAGCCCCTGAGGTCCGCATAGACACTCCAGTTTGGTCGCCCCGGCATGGGGGGAGTGTGGCTAGAGTAGGGAGGCATGAGAAGGTGGTGGAGCAGGAAAAGCGAGAGGCGATTGAGAAAGCTATTCGAGAGACCTGGTGGGTTCCTCATTAGGCTACTGTGGTGCATTTCGAGGACAGTTTGGGAAAATACGCACGTGTCGATGATATGAAGAAATTTCGAGGAAATTTTTGATGGTTTTTCTACACTTTACTCCTACGGTGTGTGATGTCATGTTTCACTGGGAAAAATTCTGAGCTCAGCTGAGTAAGTGGAAGCATATGTATGGGAATGTTCGTTTTGTCGGTAGGCGCAGAATAGAAGGGAAACATGATGAAATTGCAGAGTTGGAGGAAGCCATTGGTGATCTTGGCGAGGAGGAATCATCAGAACATGAAGAGGTGGGTATTATTGTGATGGATGATTACTACTACTACTGCTACTATAATAGTATATGGTACTACGATATGTACAGCTATAGTATCTATACTACTATAGCTACTACTGTGTGATTTATGAGGATGATTCTCTTCAGGGCTCGCATGTTATCACGGGTGACGTTTTTGCTGTGCTGCGTCCGCCAGCGTGAAGTGATGCTGAAAATGCAGCTAATATGGTTAAGTCTCTGTGAGCGTTAGCTGAGTCTAGTAGCAGGAGCATGTGAGCACTATGTTGCCCGACTGATGTGTCGTTGGGCTTATAATTGGCAATTTCTACGCTGCTGTTGGGCACTGACTTTCGTTGGTTAATCAACTGAGGGGGGAGGGGTTCAGTAGAGTAAGGGGCAGTTACTTTCTTCTGGGCTGAGCTTCCTAGCTATCAATGACTCCCGGCAAGTGTCGTGGGCCGTACGCGAAGTGAAGGGCGTCTAGTTGGTTTTGGCGCATGGAGACGACGAAGTGATCGACTAGCATGTATGATGATGTTATGAATACTCGCATTAATAGAGTCATTTCGTACCTTCTATTGAGACTGTTGTCTTTCTTCCAGTACAGTTGAGGGAAAGCGTGCACGGTGAGAGTGTCTGAGAGCTGGGCCCTGAAATTCTACTAGCTGTGGGGGGGTACCATGACACAATGATTTTCAACTTTACCAGCCGAATGTTTCACCCTAGTTGCCCTACTGATCGCGACGAGGGATTAAACTCATTGCTGGTAACTCCTATTACAACCTATACCTATAGAGGATACAAGATCACATACAGTGAGCTCAACTGTGATGGTCGGAGTCGAACTCACTATAGGTCACCGTGTGATGGGAATCTCTCATTCAAGGGTTACGCCGACTATCGATGGTGAGTGTATGATGACGAGAACATGACAGAATCGTTTTCTCATAGACTTACTATTATAGTATTCACTAAAGGGTATATTCATTCTGAATTGGTATATAGTCTGTTATTGTAGTTGTACAGAGTATTCCACTGTGGGATCTCAGCTCGAATCTAATGGATGATTTTATGAGTGCAATTGTAGATAGAATCTCTACACTCCATCAACCATTGCTTTGAGTTCCCAAATGGTCAACAGTTTTATAGATTTATACTCCTTTAGTTTCCCCATACACAGATAAAATACTACGTGCTATTCGTATTCGACGAATCTAAGGCTCTCGCATGAACTGACTGCTTTCGCATGAACTATGCTTTGCTGTTATATATCCCCGTGTGAAAACCCACCGGCCGGAATTTCCCCCACTAGTTCGTACCGAATTAAATGATGATCAACTGATAGGGACAGGTGCATGGAGGGCTGATGCTGAGAGAACTGAAGGCTTCTATTGAGGCGGCCAAGGAAATCAACGCCGCTATATATCTCATTGATCGACCGTAAGGCGGTGACCTTCGGGAATTTTCTAAAGTACGGCAATCGATCTTTGGTGTTTCCAAAGGACAAGGCTAATAGTGAGGACGTGAGGGAGTTGGACTCGTTCCTAAAGCGATACTGTCCAGGGATCCACAAGGTAAGCTTTTGGGGAATGTCGAAGTCAGAATGGGAACAATTTAGGTTCTCATTGACGAGAGAAACCAATACATGGCTCATCAAATCATATGGAACTCTCAGCCGGGTGAAACAGTGGTTGTCATCTGCAGCGCCATGCATGCACCAGGGCTTGCAAGCCTACTCCAGAAGAAGTTGACAGATCCCTCAGTGGATGTGAGAAGACTCCGGGGTTGTTGGTCTGGTATTCCTAATTCGTTCGCATCGGTCTCGATAGAGCATTCGAAGTCTATTCAAGTGTTATGGAGAGCTTTCTTGCAAGGTTGCTGCTCCAGAAGGACTAGCGGATCTCACCAAGAAGTCTCTACCAGTGGTCCTGTTTTTGTTCTTGTTCTATCTAGTGTTGCCAGGGTACATACTGTATCTCGTGAGTGCTGGAGGGATAGCGATGGTGAGCGAGCGTCTGGTGGTCGCAGCTGTGATGTCGTTTCCTGCCAGATATCGCAGAAAGCGAAGGGTGTGCTTGGGATCGAGTCGAAAGAGGGAGAGGTACCGGTCGCGAGACCAGCCGTCAAAAAACTGGAGTCCAGCTAGTTTCTAAATAATAAAAAATATCCGCGTTTTCAGTGATAAGGTTACGCAGTTCTCGTGTGGGCACCACCCGGGGACAGGGGCTTTATACGACTGTGTCAAGCTGTGATGAACATCTCGGCACGGGGCATGAGCAACATGTGGGTATTCGAATAGGATATATCCGATACAGCCCATTGCCTATGATAGGCATGATAGTCCTCAGTATCCTCGGAAAGCTCGCGACCCGGTGCTGTTCGCATCGGTTTCGACGAGATTCAAACCAGAGTTGCTGAGTGGGATGCCGCTCAGCTTCGGAAGTGGTAGCCGCTACACCATCTTATCAGAGAGATGTCATTTGATAGCGATACTATCAAATCGACCATGACGCCATTCAGGCTCATTGCGTACCCAATCATGCGGTATTATCCACAAGTGATTATAAGGCTCCCATTCCTTAGCCAAAGTCCCAACCTAATGTAATCAGTAACCTCCTCAATCCCCAGTAGCTCCCCCGCATTCAACTGCTTCACTGCCGTACTCGCGTTCCTCAGCCGGGCGTTCACAGATGCATTAGCGTATATCTCATGGCACTTGCTGAAGTCATTGAAACGATAAAAAGTGGGAATCGTGCTTTCTATATCGTCCAGTATAATCTCCAATCTCTCCGGATCAGCAGCTCCGCTCCGCCTTTTTTCCCAGTTCCTCGAACAAGCAGCTCCGCTTGAACAAGACACGCTGGGATAAGACGAGAAATCACAGCATGGTTCATGTGTATATGAAAATGTGTATATAGTGCGAGACATTCCTCAACGGATGGCTGCTATCTTCAGATTAGGCTTCATCTCGCGGAGCCTCTCGAAATCATACTCTCGCATATGTCTAAAAACACAGGATCGATAATGCCGGTAAAATGAGCCAACCTCATCAATGCTCGGGGCCGTCGCCGCCTGGCATAATACTCTTTTCAAGCACCTTTTCCGCCTGCGAGCAATCACCGTGCGAATAGAAATGATGACTGGGAGAGAAGTAAACGAGATCTCGGTTGGGCTGGAAAATGCAATAAGCATTGCATTGCGATTGTCCAGGACCAACTCTCCCTCTCCCACACCTCTCCATCATGTGAGGCAGCTGGTCGATATTCGCCCTGAGAAAGAAATAAAATTACTTCCACACTAATTCGAACCTGGATCGATTGAATACGAACCACTACAACTAATCATTACACCATTTGTCCACTCACACATTCACCGAATCACAAATCACCAAAAATCCTCAGGCTAGGGGGAGGGGTGAATCCGTAAAATCCATCACGATATAGTCACAGCTTTCTCACGTTGCCGTCGTCGTTCACGACGAGTCCGAAATCAGAAGTTTAAATGGATTGCTTCTGATCATCGAATTAATGTAATTCCTAGCTTACTTCAGCGTGATGCTGTTGGTGGAGATGGGAACGATATTGGAGTTTAACCCGTGATAGGATTCTCTCATATTTTCAGCGCCATTCGTATAGTACGCGTAAGGATTAAAAGAGGCTGCTTTCCTATAGTGGAGTCCCGAATCGGGACTCCCGATCGCAGACATTCTCATCAAAATACGGTTAATTTCATAATAATACGGATTTTGTTGGTCTTCTCGATTGGTCAATCAGCGCGCTGACAGAGAGTCGATCGAGGAAGTGATAACCTCAACATAGCTGAACCATTCACAACTCGCTCAAACGCCATTCAATTCAGATCAACAACAACAACAATGACACGAGTTTTAAAGTAACAACAACGACAAACAATCGAGTTGTTTTACTCTGAGTTCTTGGACACTGAACTTACGGGGCTCAGGAATCGAGAGCCAATACCAATACAATGACAATACCTGAGGGATCTACCTGGTGGATGGCATGACTGCTGGTCGTACCACGCCCATGAGTCTTCCCCATATGGGGGTGAATACTGTCTATACCGTATAGTCACATATTCATCGTAGACCAGATCCTCCCCAACATAAAATAGTAAGGCAAAGCACATGAACTGTTCATGATGAACACGAGTATCACCTCACTGATGAGCTTGACCCGGGGTATGATTTTGTCGATTGTTGTGACTTATTAAAACGAAAACGGACAAGTGAGACGAGGCAGTCCCGACAGCCTTCATTTCTGATATGTTCCATAGAGTATCTAGCACCACCACCACGATCAGCAAATCATCATCATCGTCGCTATCCTTCAATACCAGCACGATATTTCTTCAAACAATGGATACAAATACATGCCACAATTTGGTAGGTGTTCTTCAAATGACCTGAGATGAGAATGACAGTTCATCACACCCATGTTATGATTGGCAATTGACTCACCCATGGACGGAAATGCAGTGGTCTCCATTATGTTGTAGAGATACCCAGTCCCCTCCTCTCCAGCCGATACACTTTGGTTTGCACCATAAGTCGCCTTGACGCCATTTTTTCGGCGAGTAGGGTCTCGCACCCGTTCGATACCGTTCCCAAAAAACATCTAAGATTCGACTGCTACAAAGACGCCCAGTACGGTTAACAAAATCACCCGGATATA